TTTGTACGTATGCTATTGAGCAAAAAATGCTTGAGGGGAGAAGGGAGAAAATTTGAAAGTTGTTTCCGATCAAGCACCGTTAGAAAAGAACGTTAATTTAGAGTCAGAAACAGCTCTCTTAGTAATGCTGGCGAGAAACCAGGTCATCTACTAAAAATGCTCGGAAACGTAAATTTTTGATTTTAGGGGGAAACATTTTTTTGCCAGTTTCACCCCCTGAGCGGAAACCCTCTAGCGGGGGTGAGAAAGATGGGTCGAATTGTAAAGTAATTTTTACCTAGATAATAACCCCCAAGTTTTACATCTTTACTATCTATGTAGCCCATACAGTGGCTCACCAAAAGTACAAAACCGATTTAACATAATTTTTACATTAATATTAACAAAATGGAATTTTTTTGTAACAATTCTAGTTTTATTCCTATGGCTTTCAATTATTCTTATCAGATGACACTCTTCTCTTTGGTCGCTGTAAAGGTTTAGTTTATTTCGTTGTAGAGTCGGCATGAAAGTTGCATATCAGTAATAATGGTTTACTCAATTGCTGAGAGAGTGCAAATAATTTTTTCTACGATCAATGAAGGTGCTAATAGAACTGCCCAACTGTTTAACAATCAATATCAAAATCGACAAGTCCATCGAAAGCATATTTTGGAATCAGTCCAAAAATTTGGGAAATTGGGTCGGTAGCTAATAAATAACGTGAAATGGAAAATGCTGTAGTAAATGAAGCTACAGAGGTGGCGATTTTAGGGCACATTGTTCAAGAATACACATTGACTACAAGACAGTTGGCAATACCATCTGGTATTAAGAGAAGTATCATTCAGAAGATATTGAAAAAGCACAATTTTTAACTGTACAAAATACATCCGGTAAAAGAACTTAAGGAAGACGATTTTGATAGGCCATTACAATTTTGTGAAATTATGACTAAATGGGCAATAAATTATCAGCAATTTCTTTTCAACGTGTGTCTTTTAGACTAATGCACTTTTTTCCTAAATGGTACGGTTAATCGTCACAACTGTCGTTATTGGTCCGATTTAAATCACATAATATTTCATGAAGTGCATACGGAACATCCAGAAAAACTGAATGTTTGGGATAACATTTTTGGTAACCGTATAATTGGCCCCTTCTTTCACCTGGAATTTTAACCGCAGGAAAGTATCTGGAATTATTAGAAAACGCCATTTATTTAGCATTACTAGAGTTGATTGAGAATGACGATCAGTACATAGCAAACAACTTAATATTCCAGCAAGACGGTGCGCCACTGTTCTTCAGTATTTGGATCAAACGTTTCCAGGTTAATGGATCGGAAGAACAGGAAGTATTGAATGGCCCCCACGGTCTCCGGGTCTAAGCACGTTAGATTTTTTTATGGGACCACTTAAAAACTAAAATTTATGCCACCCAGCCAACATCACTGAAAATCTGCGACAACAGATAATTGATGAATGTCATCAAATCGCCTCGGGTGAAGGCGTGATATCCACCTTACATCATATTATTCCCCATTTAAGCTTTTGAAAATGTCCATGGAATGTCCTTAAATGGACGTTCTTAAGACATCCTGATTATTAACAATGGACGTTCCAAATACGTCCATAAGACGCCCACGGCCGTGAAATGGACGATCTAAGGATGTCCTGAATGTCCAAGCAGGACGTTTTTAGAACGTCCATAAGACGTATTTGTGCTATCTGGGATTTACCTGAATTATTATATGTTCTAAGTAATTTGATACATGCGCCCTTCTTAGTTGTTTTGATTACAATAGCTACCCCTTACACTCCTTGTCTACGTTGTCGTACCGGTTCTCTGTCTTGTCTAATAATTATGGAGTCTCTTATTTTTACTTTGTCAGTGGTGGCGTTCGTATATTTTACCGAATATTTACCCTTAATAATTTCTTTTAGATCGCTTGTAAGACTCCCGTGCGTTCATCAACTACTATTGGAGGTATATTTGATTTTTTGTTATTTTGTGAGGGCTCTGGTTTTTTAGCAGTGCTTTTAGTTAATATTTTGCTTTTGATTGGCAAATTCGGGGTCGCTTTTCCCTTTGTTTTCGGTACATCTACATCACGTGTTTCAGGTTCGCTATCACTGTCACTGATAGGATCGAATTTATTCATGATAGGGATTGTGGCGGCTGCCTTTTGTTCTAAAAGTTTAACAAAGTTGGTTCTATTTTTTTTTTGTTTTTTTATTTGGCTTTTGGAATCCTGTATTATCTTCACTTTCTGAATCATTGTCAATACTCATTAAGTTTGTATTCGCTAGTGGCGACAGATTCTTCCTTTTTGGGAGAAGTGCATTTAAGGGTGAGGAAGGTGGCAGGAGTGGAGATTGATTCCTTATCGCTGTCTGGATTGTTGGTGGTGGAGGAGCAGATAGCGAGAGTAGCTTGTTTATATTGGGTTTCTGAATGCCTGGAGATTCGGTTCTGATGCATGTGGTTTGGGAGGTCTGAAGGGGTGCTTCCTGCGTGGGTTTTGTACGTTTTCCCGATGAGTCAGCAAAGTGATTATTTATCGAACTAGTCCGAGATTATGAGCCGAGCGAGAGAAGCGAGCGAGGCGAGTAACAGAAGAGTTCGATAAAGACACTTTGCTGACGTGGTTCGTGCAAACTTTTATCACCAACCGTAAATAATTATAATTAATAAAAAAGGAGATATAAGGAGATATTTATAACATCACATTTTATTACGACAGTAAAAAAAAAAATAGCGAATACAAAACAAATCAGTTAACTACTATTTATGTCAGATGAACATGGCTATGTTGATAAATATTAGCGGCAGATAAAATATTTGATTTTTACAGTGAGATAAAGTGTTTGTTTACTTCGCTATGATAAAGTATGGCTTTATTGACGGTTGGCGATAAAGGTTTTTTATCCTGGAGACAAAATTATAGATGCCTTAAAAGCTATTTATGAAATCAGTTACGAAATTCCTCATTTTATGTGAATCTTTGCGGAACGAGCAGAGCGAGATCCCTCAAGATGAGCGAGTTACATAAAAGGGCATTTTGTAACGTGTTACATTTTTTCTATTTTGAACAGATTATTCATAAAATTGTATTTTGGTAGAGTAGTACTGACATCTACGCAACCAATATTACTTTCTTGTATTGTTAGCTGCATATAACTTCATTAATTTCATTGATAATATTAATTTATTCTCAACGACTTTTAAATTTCAGGGAAGTGGGTTATTTTGTCGAGTTTTGATTATTTTGTGCAAATTTAAAATGGCAAACAAAGACCAAAGTGGTTACGAAATAGCTATTTATGCAACCAGTTACGAAATGTCTTATTTTATATGTAACGAGTGAATATGTCCTGCAAATATCCACTTACATACAATATTTTTTTCTTATTTTGACTACATTTTTTACAAAATTGTATTTTAGTTAAATATTACTGATATATAAGTAACCAATACTATTTTATTGACAAATAGAAGGTCATGTTAATTATTTATTCTTAACGGCTTGTATCTACTTTTGTTCCATCTGACACCTATTACTTAGGCCCTGAACGAAAATTCAATTCAGCAAAATTGTTAATTTTACACGAAATCATAATTTGTGCACAGTTTAAAAATTAGGCAACATTGTTTATTAAAATTTGACAAGAATATTCAAAAAAATATGTAGATTGCTGTAAAGTTTTTTGAACTGCATTTGTGACTATCACTTTTTTATATTTTTTAATAGTATTTAATAATTAGCAGGACAAATGAAATTGGCTCATTGCAATCATTAAACATTTTACTATAAGTTGCCACAGTTTCACTAAAATCCATTTAGTGAAAGATAAGTACTGTAGATAATTGTAAACCACTGTTTTGTCCAAGTAAAATACACATATTCTGTAGTTTTCATGAAAACTAGTCGATATAAATTGGTACATTTGACAATGGTTTTTACAAAATATGCACGACACCGTAAAAAGGTTCAGGTAATTTTTGTATGGTCCGACGTACCTACCTCCCGTTGCGCCAATAATGTGAGCTAACCAAATATCTTCTTCTATTGTCAATAACAAGCAAATTCTTTGGTTGTATTGAAATTCTATTTACGGTTCTATTCACACTTGCTTCTGGAATCTCTTTAAACTTCTAAATTTCTTAAATCCTATATCTACCTGTGTAACAAGGCGTGGGAAGACACAATATTGTTGGACATTTCGGGTGAATTTGTATTCGTTTTAAATACGAGGCGATATTGGTATTGGTATCTTATTAGCTTGGAAAAGCAGATAAATACTATTAAACAAAATTGAATATGAATAAAATTATTTTGATGATTTATAATTAAGTTTGACAACCATTAGTTAAACGTTAATAGAGTCTGAGAAAAAGCTACATTTTTAAAACTTTGAGTTTCGGTCAATTATTAAGCATATAGAGTGGCGTTTTTGGCGATTTTGTTTACACACCTTTTAATTTTTTTTGTGTTGAAATTAAAAATTTAAAAAAACCGACTTCAAAAACGTGCAGATGCCATCACCACATCTTAACCAAATTTATATGGGAGCACCCCTGAGGTACCCCCTAACTAACCAAAAAAGAATCATATAAATCTGACAAGGAGGTAAAGCATTATCGCTAAACATACATAAAAAATGAAGATTTTGAGGATTTTCTCATAGACCCAATTATTAGGTTTTGACCAAATTTTTATGGACCACCCCTGAAGTACCCCCTCTCTAACCAAAAAAGAATCATTGAAATCGGGCACTGTGTTAAAGAATTATCGCTGAACATACATAAAAAAAATATTGCGACGAATTGAGAACCTCCTCCTTTTTTGAAGTCGGTTAAAAAATCAGGTTAGATGTCAATAGTTTATTAGTTTTTGATACATATTTACTGATTTTTCAAGAAAATGTCCATTTCTATTTGAAATTCTAATACTTTTTTTATATTATAGCCACTAGGGCTACTAGGGCTAAAGAAACACTTTATTTCAGATAATCAAAATGAGTCGAAAATTGAAGATCAATAAAATAAATAGCGATCAAGCTTATGCTTTATTAGATGATATTCCTTCAGAAGGTTGCGATGCATCTGATGTTGAATTTTGTGATAATGATGTAGATTGGTTGAAAGACTTGGAAGAGGAAGATAGTGTAGAAAAGGAAGATGGTATAGAAGAGCAAGATCATATAAAAGAAGAAGATAGTATAGAAGAGAAACAAGAACGAAGTGAGCAGAGAGAACCGAAAAAAAAGAAACAGAAAATTGAGACAATAGAGATAAAGAGTTACAAAAAAATTGCCTTTTCAACAAACCACTGGTCCAACAGTACCAGCAGATTTGGAGACTCCCGCAGATTTTTTTTTACATTTATTTCCACAGAAGCTGTTAAAAAAAATTGAATTCGAGACTAACTTGTATGTTGTCCAGAAAAAAAAATAGTATAAAAAAACCAACAACGGTAAATGAACTAAAGTGCTTTCTAGGAATAAATATGATGATAGGAATAAAAAAATTGCCAAGTTACAAAGATTATTGGTTTTCAAGAATAGAGCTACGTGATACGTTTGTTTCATCCTGTATGGGCCACGACCGATTCTCGTGGCTTCTTTCAAACCTTCACATTAACGACAATTCCTTAGAACCTAAAAAAGGTAGTCAAAATTATGACAAACTCTATAAATTACGCCCGATGCTAGAAGAATGATCAAACACCTATAAAAATAGCTACTTATCAAGCGAAGAGCAGTCCATAGATGAATCTATGATCAAATTCAAAGGTAGAAGTAGCTTACGCCAATACATGCCTAAAAAAACCATAAGACGAGGATATAAATTGTGGATTCGAGCAAACAAAAATGGATATATTTCGCAATTTCAAATATAAACTGGAAAAGTTGATAATCTAAAAACAGAAAAGGTAAAGGTAAAAGAATTGTGAGAGATCTGACAAGAGATTTGGTAGGAAAGCACCTTCAAGTCTATTTTGATAATTACTTCAACAGTGTAATCCTACAAATTGATCTGTTGCAAGATCAGATATACGCGTGTGGAACTGCAAGAAGTGACAGAAAACATATTCCCCAGTCCTTCACAAAAAAAAGATGATCAGAGGAGAGTCTGATTGGAGAATAAGTGATAATGGGATAGTAGCTGTTCAGTAGATGGACAACAAGCCAATTGTATTTTTAAGTAGTTTTTCACAACCCAACTGATGATAATACCGTAAATAGAAAACAAAAGATGGCAGTTTAAAAGAAATCAGTTGTATAAAATTAGTCAGAGATTACAACATACATATGGGTTATGTTGATAAATCTGATATGCCAAAAAAATGCTATACGCTTAATCCTTAGAGGCTTAATCGCAAGTCAAAAAAATAGTGGCACGGTATTTTTCGGCATTTCGTTGATTTGATAGTATTCAATGCTTATCTTATTTATAAAGAAAATATTGATGGTACTGTCATGCCACTGAAGGAGTTCAAATTATCAGTAGTAACAATTTTGAGCGGAGCTAACCTCAATATGTCGGAGACATGAAGAAGTCAAACTGCAGAAAATCAATTCAAAATACGTGTACCAATAGAAATAATAACAGATAAAGCTGCTCATTTGCCAAAATATGGCACTAGCGTTCGATGTGCCAACTGTAGTACCAAGTTAGAACCTCATCGTATGAAATGACACTGTTCCACTTGTACAGTTGGACTATGCCTATCGGACAAAAGAAACTGTTATAAAATATATCATAGCAAGTAGATGCGCCAGTTGCGCCCTAGTGGTTAAACTGTTGAACCACCACTTTTTTCAAATGTTTGTTAAAAAAATAAATAAAATATTGCATGTATGCAAACATCTCGCAAGAAAATAACAATTCGTTAAAATGAGAGAAATAAGTAAATTTAGATAATATACCAATGAGAATTTATTATTTTCTTTTCTACGTCCCTTCATGACAGTACGTCAATGGTAGACCGGAACCACTTGTCGTCATATTCGTCTAGTTCACTGTCAAAATAAGATACCATCGCGATTCCAAGGTCGTTTAGGATTCCTCCTTCCTGACTATATATATTCAAAGGTTTAACCAACGGCATCCTGATAAATGTCTCTGGGAAAATTGTTAGCGAATTGGTGGCAAAATTTCGCGGAACAGGTTCGGTTCACAACAATAAGAGGAACCTTGAAAATCTAGTGTGCCTTTTAAAAGGAGATAGAAAACTCCGCCATTTTCAACCCTTATTACGTGTTGCCTACATCTTGGCGCAATATTTTTAATAGGTGCGTTTTAATCATCCGCTTCTGCTTCGGAATTGTCGGTTTTCTTATTTTAATCTGACAGGTTAAAACGACTAAACCGACAATTCCGGAAGCAGAAGCGGATGACTAAAACGCACCTGATATTTTGCTTGCTGCTGTATGTGTCAGTGAATATTATTTTTGTAGTCACAGTTTATTGCTAAAGGATGAGTTAGCTTACTCGGACCAGTTGAAAGTTTCAAAATAACATCCACTCCAGGGATACAAATTCAGGATACGCAGAAGACTGCTGTTTTATTATAGGCGGTTGTCATATATTGTATTATCCGAGTTGCACAGTGTATAAACTGAAACATTGAGATCAAAAGTGCCGACGCAGAGTGAGCGATCTGATTCTTTATCTGTAAACTGTGTCACAGGGATCAAAATGGCCGCGCCCTATGTTGGACGTGTCGGACCTCTCTCTTGCCTCGTATAGTAATCAAAGTATGTGACCTACAGAGATAGCAATATTGGATCAAGTAACAGCGGACTTGGAAAAATTCACACATGTTGGAGCGATTAATTCTTCCGCTTTTTAGGTGCCAGTTTGGATTTAATTCAGAGCCGTGAGAAATTATCACAGGCAAGTCATTTATTACAGTCATGTCTTTGTCGGTCATGGTGTACTTTAGAAACATTTTTTTTTTTTTTTACTCTTTACTTACCTAATAAAAGCTATTTATGAAACCATTTACAAAATTCTCTGTTTTTTGTAATGAGCGAATATTTGCAGGCGAGCAGAGGAGTTAGATAAAATTGAATTTCGTAACGTGTCACATACAATATTTTATCTAATTTTGGCTAGGTTGTTTATAAAATTGTCTTTTGATAAAAAATTAATAACATTTAGGCAACCTATATTACTACTTTCTTGTATTGTTAGTTGCGTATATTATTAACTTTATTGCCAAATAATATTCATTTAATCTCAACGACTTCTTGCAGTTTGTTTATATTGTGTATTAAAGTTATTTAGATTTCAAGAAAGTGGGTTATTGTGTCGTGTATTCTGTTTTAATTATTTTCGGCTGATTTAAATTGAAAAATAAGGACCAAAACAACATTATTACGAGGTTGTCAGTTTTACCAAATTATATTTTTAATAAGTCAATCTGCCCTTCTTTGATATAAACTTTAAATAATAATGTATATTATTGATTTTAAAACCATAAAAGGTTTATTTTAATTTGTTTTATTTTCGCAACTGGTGACGTAATGCAGTTTTTTATAATGTTTAACATTGCAACATTGGTTGCGTAAAGTTGCGATTACAAAAATGTCATTTTATATGGCAAAATTAGAAAAAATATTTCTATTACGACTAACTATACAGGGTGGCTTACGCTCAACGGGACGGAGCTTTGTGGGAAAACGACCAAAGATATAAAAAATTCGTTTGGGAGGAATACGTAGGTTACAGACGGCTACAATTTAAAATTTGTTAGATGTATACAGGATATCCCACATAAGAAAAAAAATTAGTTCATTAAAAATTATTCAAACACGAGTAAACAATTAATTTCTGGGAGACTTTTTTTCCTTAAAAATTCAAGTAAATCGAAAACTAATAATAATAGTAATAGGGAACCTTTAGTTAACTGACATTATTCTTGATGTAGTTTTTAATTCTAAAATAAAAAACAGGGTGTTCCATTAAAAATAATATAACTTTGTATATTTTCTCTTATGTGAGACATCCTGTATACATCTAACAAGTTTTAAATTGTAGCCGTCTGTAACCTACGTATTCCTCCCAAACGAATTTTTTTATATCTTTGGTCGTTTTCCCATAAAGCTCCGTCCCGTTGAGCGTGAGCCACCCTGTATGTTGTGACGATTATGATTTTTTCATAAATCAAGTACTTAGTTTTTCAAAGAGATAATTGGCAACTACTTTTAAATTTGAGAACATGTTTTTCAACATGTAATAACAAACACCATTTATTAGAAATAATTTTTTGTTTGACAACTAAATACTTATTGGGACGATAAATCAATATCATTAAAAGTACCTAGGCATGGAAAACAAAGTATATATGTTATTTATTTGTCATTTCAATTAATATAGTGGCGTTTACACAAGTAAATTTACAATATTTTTTCTACGACCACAAAATAATTTCATCAAAACAATGTAAAACCAGGAAGTCTGGCTATAAAGGTCAAGATGTGGCTGGTTTTAGATTTATTTTTATATGCTTTATTGTTTTCCATTAGTTTGTTTGTTTTTTAAATACAACAAATAACTAGAATGAGGATATATAATGCTTGAAATTCTATATTATACTTTTTTCAATCAGATTTTTTTCAGTCCTCCTTTGACCCCACACTTCTTCAGATAATTTTTATAAATCAATAGGCGTTGTCTCCTTCTGGAGCTTTGTTTTTGCTAAAAATTTTATATTTTTTGTTCTTGAGTTAGGAGTTTTTTAAATATTTTAACCCATTTAATTTTCCATTTCTATTCACATTTTTTTTAGAATCAGTAGGCTTCATCTCCTTATAAAGCTTGATTTTTACTAAACATTTTATGTTGATATCGCTTTTCGTTTTTGATTATTTTTTTTTTAATTTCAATCCCTTCCCCACAAAGTCCCCATTTTTTTCAAAATCATTGGATGTCATCTCGTTAGAGCTTGATTATTGCTAAAATTTTGAAGTTGATATCATTTTTCGTTTTTGGGTTAAGATTTTACTGGTGTAAACTGGTGTAAATCATTGCAAGAAACGAATGATGTCTCAGAGTGTACGATACGATAGTTATAGGTACGTTACACCAGAAGGCAGCACTTAACGAAGCGAATTTTAAAAAATCATTATCAAGAGATTAAGAGCTTAAATTTGGGGATTACATTAAGCATACTGCTGTTGAGGAACGCATTTATTTTTTATTATGATATTTCAAAATTTAAAGCCCTTTGATTT